GCGCCTGGACTCGACGGGCCTGTTCAACAGACAGGAGAGGCCCCAGGCGAGAGGGTGTCGGCGGTGAGGGGCTGAGCTCCACTTACCATGCAGGCCAGCGCTCACATGGCGTGGCAGGACCCTCTGTGGACAAGTGTCCTCAGAAGCTGAAGGAGACTTGAGAGATGTGGCTTGATGCAGGAATATCTGAGTAAAATTCTCTCGCATGTGTTTTGCGGAGGAGGTCGAACTAGAGGACCCCGGGGCGTCTCAGAAGAGTGGGGCCTCACCTGACTGTAATTGCAAAGGGTGTGTTGACATTTTGCAGAATAGTCTTTTTATTTTCCTCGGCTGAAGTAACATTGTTGATAAGAAAGGTGATTTTTTTTTGAGAAAATGTGGTGAATTTTTCTTTGCTGGCAATGGCCCAGCATTGCTGCTGATTCACAGCAAACATTGGCTGCTGAGAAGTGCTGTGCACTGAAAAGCTCTTAATGTGGAAAATGTCAGTTGTCTGCCTGGTTCCTGCCGCCGCCCTGACCCGGCTCTGCCCTCCTCTGCTCCCAGCGTCAGAGACAGTCCCCCCCTCGCCCTCCTCCCACAGCCCTGACCCGGCTCTGCCCTCCTCTGCTCCCAGCGTCAGAGACAATCCCCCCCTCGCCCTCCTCCCACAGCTGTGCCGAGTCCCTGCAACAGAGACTGACTGGAGCAGCATCGCCCCTGGAGAACACGCCCCTCTGGGACTAAACCAAGCCCAGAGCTGGGGGTGCCCCCTTCACAAGCCCATTAGGAGCCACGGGAGTGCGTGGGCCTGCCCTGCTGCCTGGGAAGGGGTGGAAGACAGAGGTGCACCTGCGGGAGGGGGCAGGATTTTCCGGTTACGTGGAGACACGGGAGGGAACAGCTGCTTCCCCAGCGGGGCTGTGGCTCTCAACAGCGGGGTGGTGCACACAGGAGCACGCTGGCGCCGGACATGCCCGCTGCTCCGTGCGGCCGCCTCGTGGTGGCGCTCTGCCCATTCACACTGGGCCGTGCCAGCCGGTCATAAAGGCCGGACATGCCCTGGGGGCGCCCACTGAGGCCAAAGGCGACCTCTGTGCTGTTTGACTGGCCCCAAATGGGCATCTGGCGAAAGGGGCAGGCCAACCTTCTGTAGGTGTGAGCAACAACATCTCCTGCTCAGCACCTAGCCAGGAGCCCGGGGTAATGCCCCGCCCTGGGAGGTGGAATTGGCATGTTGCCAGACAAACACATGAACGGGAGGACACAGGGACAAAGTTCCTTCTAGTCTTTTCCACCTGTGTGCAGATTTTTTCCATCCATGTGTGGAATAAATGTTTATGTGCACCAAGGCCTGGAGAGTGCGCACCAGCAGTGGAAACAAAAAGCCTCACTGCGGGCACTCTGCTAATCAGCTGGGTGGCACTGGAATCTCGCCTGAACCGCCTCACACGTGCCCATCTCCCAGGGAACACTGAGCATCGGTTAAGTGATGGCAGGTAAAACGGACCCATTAGAAACAGGTACAGGCAAAGCAAAATGAAACAGATCTAAACGTCTCAAACTGAATCTAGCATGATACAAGCTCTGTTCAAGATGGTTTCTCACCATCTTTCCTCTTCCCAGCCACGGCTGACTCCCCTCTCCCCATCAGAAGTAAAAAAGGTGGGTTTCCCTTTTCTCCCTCGCTAAAAGATCTTTGCCTTAGCAGGGTGCTCACCTGTATTCAATTTCTGTTGACCGCCACCCTTGAGTTGTTCTTTCATAGTATCAAAGCATTGCAGAACTGGAAGGGACATTGAGAGATCATCTACTCCAGACCCTGCACATATGGCAGGACTAGATTATCCCTGCTCTTACATCTCCAACGCTGGAGATTCCACAACCCCTTAGGCAATTATTTCCAGTGCTTCACCACCCTGACAGGCAGGAAGTTTTTCCTAATGTCCCACCTAAACCTCCCTTGCTGCAGTTTAAGCCCATTGCTTCTTGTCCTGTCCTCAGAAGATAAGGAGAATATTTCTCTCCCTGGAACAATCTTTTATATACATGAAAACTGTTGTCATGCCCCCCACCCACTGTCTTCTCTTCTCCAGACTACACAAGCCCAGTTCTTTCAATCGTATCTCACTGGTCATATTTTCGAGCCTTTTCATCATTTTGTTGTTTCTCCCTGGACTTTCTCCAATTTGTCCACATCTTTCCTGAAAAGTGACCCCCAGAACTGGACACAGTATGCTGGGTGAGGCCTCATCAGCACAGAGTAGAGCGGAAGGAGGACTTTTTGGCTACGTCTAGACTGGCATGATTTCCCGCAAATGGTTTTAACGGAAAAGTTTTCCGTTAAAAGCATTTGTGGAAAAGAGCGTCTAGATTGGCACGGACGCTTTTCCGCAAAAAAGCCCCGATCTCCATTTTCACGATTGGGGCTTTTTTGCACAAAACAAATCTGAGCTGTCTACACTGGGACTTTTGCGCAAAAGCGACTTTTGCCCGAATGGGAGCAGCATAGTATTTCTTCAAGAAGCACTGATTTCAGACAGTAGGAAGTCAGTGATCTTGCGGAAATTCAAGCGGCCAGTATAGACAGCTGGCAAGTTTTTCTGCAAAAGCAGCTGCTTTTGCGGAAAAACTTGCCAGTCTAGACACAGCCCTTGTGTCTTGCTTCCAATGCTCCTACTAACACATCCCAGAATGTCTGCTTTTTTTGCAACAGTGTTCCACTGTTGATTCATATTTAGCGTGTGATCTATTACCACCCCCAGAGTTTATCGCCCTAGGTTCTTCTCCCCTCCTTAGGCTGGTATTTTTGACATAATTCACACATTTTCAAATCTTTCTGTCGTTGTTCTTTTGCTGTCAATAGTCTCTCTCTTGTCTGCTGCATTTACATTTTGCTAGCCCGAGTGCCCTTCCTGCAGCCCATGGAGCACGTCAGCTTGTAGCATCTCAGGCACGGCTCTCCTGGTTCCTAAACAACGTGCCATCAGCAACAGAGAGTTCTGGGGTCTCCTCTGTGAAGTCTCATCGTTAGTTGCAGCCTCAGCAAATGCTCTCCACTTCCTGTCTGAGGCTGGACAATTCTTTTTTTAAAATCAGTGGGAAATGTCTGAATCCGCCCCTGCTCCTACTGCAGTTGTCTCCAATGTTCTGGACAATGTGCCCTTTCCCCCTCTCCTATCTGGACTCCTTGTATCAGCCCCGGGGCTTGGCGTGTTTTAAATCCAAGATCGGTGCTTCATTCCCTTTCATCACCTGACAGATCAACAATTCTCTTTTCTTTTACTCACACCGCTAGTACACAAGTCCCCGGGTACCCCCGTCCTCAGCTTTCTGGTTCCCCTTTTTCCTCACCATGGTCAATATTATTATTCCACTTATACCAGAAACAACATTTGCCCAAGCACCAGTGTCCAGTTTGTAGGCAATAGAGTCCCATGGGAAGGACTTTGTCTGTTTCTCTGCTCCTTCCTCTTCAGATACAGCCCCTGGACAGAGCTCCTGAGCTGCAGAAGCCTGCAGCTTTGCCTTCCTCCCCCACAGTGGCTGATTCTGGTTGCAGACCTGGCAGGGTTGCATTTCGTACAAATGCTGCAGTGCTTGGCGAAAGCTGGCCATGATCGAGCTGGAGTTTTGTCCCCAAACTGGGAAATCCTTGAAACTTTTCCTTGCAAACTCCAATCATGGTTTTCATTTTGCTGCTTTCTCCTTTTCATTCAGAACGGACTGGCTGCTTGCCAGGTTTGTGCCACCGCCCAGTGTGGCAGGATCCCCTTTGCTTCCACCGTTTCCACGGGGTTGTGTGATTTCTGCTGCCAGGCCCAGTCTCACGGCGGTAGCCAGACTGAGAGCCATGTCTTCCCATAGCCCCTGGGCGGCTTTGGAGCGCTGGTGCCACGTACAAACCACAACAGCCCAGTGGGAAGTGTCCTCGCGCTTCCCCAGCACAAAGAGAGGGACCATCAGACCAGCAGCTGCCTCCCGCTGCGCAGACTGGAATCCCGCAGACACGCCTGCACCGAAGCAAAGGCACCACGGCAGTGATCTGCCGTCTGGAGCCTCCGCCAGGCTGCAGTCCCTGAATGCCCCACGTGCGTATGGAAAAAGCAGCTGTGCTATATCGGCAGATACAGCCTGGGCATGCGCCATTGGCCTTGACTGTTTCTCTGACACGGGCACACGTAGCACTGCCGGCACTGGGACACCAGCTCCTTCCTCCCCTCCCCGCTCCATTTCTCGTGGCCAGCCTGGCTGTAAGGGCTGGGGGCAGCGAGGGCTGGAGGCTGGAGCCAGACCCATGCGGATGGGAAATCAGGCGCACGTTGTGAACGGTGAGCGGGGTCAGCCCCGGAGCCATTGGCCAAGGGAGGGGCCGACTCCCCGCCACCGACTGTGGTACCATGACGACGGGCTGCTCCTTGACAAGATCTGCTCTGGGGTCATTCTGGGGCGCGCTGGGGCCTGAGAGGCACAGGGGGGCAGACCAGAGGGGCACAGTGGTCCCTTGGTCTTGGAGCCCATCCACCCGCTGCTGTCGGCGCCTGGGGGCGAGCACCGCACGGAGCACAGCGGGGCCCGTGTGACACGAGGCCTCCCGTGGCTACTGCCCCACCACTAAGAATCGAGCAGGTGGCTAGTCAATGCGCCCAACCCTGCTCCCCGGGAGGTCAGCGGGGGGCTTGGGCTGGGCGCAGTGGGTCAGACCGGGCTCCTTCCTGGGCGCCCTCTTTCAGTCTGTCAGCAGACACAGTCCCCTGCACCAACACTGGGAGCAACGATTCCGCCCGGCTCCGTCCAGTAACGTCCCTGGGGCAGCAGTGGCTGCTGCTCCCGTCCCGGCCACGTCCTGCCAGGCCACGGCGTCAGCTGCCGCTGTGACCGCTGGAGCTGCAAGCGCTCAGTGGGACCGGCTGGAATGTGGGGCGTGGGAAGGAGGCGCTGGGATGGGCCAGGCAGCTCTTCCCTGGCCCCAGGCTCCCTCCTCCCTGCACATAAAAGGCTCCTGGCTAGCAGGGAGAGGAGAAGGTGGGAAGAAGGCGAGTGCAGCGGCCACTGCAGAGACCAGCCCCAGCCCTGGGGAGAGCTGCCCGGAAATGGCTCGTCCCGCTGCTCTGTCTAGCAGTAACGGTCTGTCAGGCTCAGGACACCTGCCCAGGTGAGGGACAGACAATCCCTGTTCACAGCTGCATTTCAGCCTCTGCTCCCTGCCCAGCTGGGCCCTGCAGAACTGGGAACTGGGCAGCAGTTCTGTGGTGCTTTGCCTGCTCGCGGTGCCATGTAACAGCTTCTTTGTACAAAACTACTTGGTACAATCTAACCTGTGTGGCAGAAGTGCACAGCACAGACTGGAGGGGTGCAAAAAACAGGCGCGGTTTTTGCAGATTATTTGGTGCAAATCTCTTCTTCTCCGGTAAGAGTCCTCAAAATTGGATTGCACCTCCTGTACCTCATCTTCATTTCCAAAATTCTAGCCTCTCTGTGTTGTAGCTGGGCTGTCTGTCTAAAGCTCCCAGCTCCTTTGTATCTTGGACCTAAATCATTTGAACATAGTGACTGACAGCCCCATGCAGTCTGCTAAGCCAAAGGCTAGAAAATGAAATGTCAGTCCTTAAATCTTAGAGGGATTCTATGATTTCAGATCAACCTGCTTTCTACATTTCCCTTTTCCCAAATTAGGATGATCCTTTGCAAAATCGCTTCTGTTACACTTAACACCATAAATCTACTATTGTGCTACATTCTTTTCTGCTCTTGGGCTTGAGGATTGGAGGGTTTAAGTTAGTTCACTCTGTAATCCTATGACCTTATGGAGGATTTAGTCGAACGTGTGCAGACCTCATCCAGGCAAACTCTCTTTGAAGGGAAAGGGAGCCCTGCTGAATTAGGGTTGAATTCTGGTGTTGCAATCTCTGCTCCTGCTTTCTCATTTCATTTCCTGCAACTCATGGTCATGTGGAAAATCATTCGCTATGTACAATCTATGGCAGAATGCGCTAGGTTAGGAGGCAGTTTCTATATCACAGAAAATATTAATCCTCTCCACATTTTCTTACCTCAAGTATTTCCAGTGTCCCCATTTTTCTCCACTGATGTCTCCATAGATAATTTTATATTTCACCAGGTGTATAATATAGGGAGGGCTCTGTTGGATTAAATTATATTCAATTCTTAAAAATGTCTTATCTGAGCTCATAGCGATTTTCAAATTAATTTACCTTTGGACATTTTCTTCCCTGAACGGCAGCTCCTTGTTTTTCTCTGTGGTTCATTCTGCTTTTGTGTGTCTGCAGTTAATTTTGTTAGAAGAGTCTCATGAACTAGTCCAATGCCGCATCGGCTGGGTTGCAAACACTGCCCAGGCTTGTGGACATCAAAATTAACTCTGAAGTGATTTCTTTCAAACACAAGTTCTGAATAACTGCTTTTGAACTTTGGCTTTTACTGTAACGTAAAACCAAGATTAACAGGAATGAGCCAACGTGCGGTATCAGAGCATTGACACAAATGCGTAACTGGCGGGAATGGTGGGTTTATTGCTCATGGAGGAAAGAAAAGGCAGCAACTATCCAGGCTTTTGTTTGCTGGGTTTCTCCCTCTGGGTTTCTGCAGAACGTTTCTGATCTGGGGAGCCGAACAAGCACTGATTACAGGTTCGTTTCTTTCCCCAGAGGTGAGCTTAGTGAGTCTCAACAGTACCGAGAAAGCCTCCTTTCTCCAAGGCTGCAGAGGAATTCCAGGCGCGGTGGGGCCCAGAGGAGACCCAGGAGCTCCAGGAGTAAAAGGTGTGTTCCCGGCACTGAAGGGAGTAAGTCGTGGATGGTGCTGATGTAAATGGGAATTATTGTTGCGTTGTGTACAGACATGGCAAGGCGCCCACATGCTGTGGTGGGCGATCGGCGTTTCAGAATAACCAGGTTCTGAAAGATTCTCCATTCCCTTCGGAGGGTCTGACTGGCAACCAAGCCCCCTGGTTCTTTCCCCATCTCTGACTTTGTCTACACTTACTGGGAGATGGATGTTGCAGAGATGGATCTCCTGGCGATCGAGTTAGGCGAAGGCACTAAATCAACTGCTGATTGTTCTCCTATCAACTTCTGTGTTCCACCGCAGTGGGGATGCTGCCGCAAATGAGACTATGGGACGCTGACTCCAGCTACGCTATTCATGTAGCTCATGTTATGTACCTTAGTTCAACTGTGCCCCTACTGTGGACCAGGCCTCTGTCACTGGCTCACCGTGTGTCCTTTGTCAAGTCACTGTATTTGAGCCTTTGGCCCTTTACTTCTCAGAGGTCATCTGAGACTCTGAAAACTTTGGATGACAGAGACAAGAGAAGAGTAAATCCTGATTAGTATCCCAAGCCATGGCATGTTTAATGGTTGCATGTAAACATGGTTGTTTACCAGCTTTGATTCCCATCTTATAGCAAGATGTGCTTGTCCCATTGATTTCAATGGGCCTCCTGCAAAAGTCCTTGATAGGGCATCCTGATGTGAGATCAGGGACTAGGAGCCAGAGGTAGTTACATTATGTGAATTTCGACACAGATGGGTTATTGTGATTCGAGGCTGGGGGGAGAGGGAGTTTCACATACTCAGTATTTACAATACCTTGAAAAATATTCAGCTGATTTTCTGTGTTTTCAGGAGAACAAGGACATCAGGGGATCCCTGGAAAGGCAGGACCAGTTGGGCCAAAAGGTAAAGTAAAAAGGGCAAAAGAGCTTTGTTTTCCTATTAGGTGACTTAAAAAGAGGAAATTTGTTTTGAATCAAATATTTAAGTAGTGCTTTTTATCTAACACTGGTTCCTATAATATCTGGGCTCCAAAGCCACCCTGGCTTCCCTTCCCTCTATTTGACATCAAAGGGTTTATTATTCCACCACAACTTCTGTTCTGCTCCACAGCCGAGATCGGGGAATCTCTGACCAGCCTTTCCTGTTTTATCTTTTGTTCAACCAGGAGAAAGAGGTGCTGCTGGCCCCCCTGGACTGACAGGTGAGAGTCCTGCGATGGTTCTTCTCACTGTGGAGCTGGGCACGTTACGGTGCTGGTCACGGTGACAGAGGGATTGGGATCAGCAATTCCCCTGCACTGTTTCCTTGTACAATTTTTCCTTCCAGCTTCAAAAAAGAGCTGAAATGTAATTGGTGCCAGTTGAACAAGACGTGTCCCCTTGTTTTTGTCTAACAGTCAAGTGACAAAACCAACCACACAAAAAACCTAGTGTTCTGAGATAGCAAGCTGAAACATTTCTAAATTGTGAATAAAAGCTGGAATAGTTGCTGGACATTTTTCCCCCAGCTCCAATTATGATGTCTATGTCACGTCACAAGGTCCCATGCAGTGTCAGGAAATGGGTTCTACCAGCAGTGTGGACATAGTCTAAGCTGATTTCAGTTCAGCCAGTGCAGAAGACAAATCAAAAAATGCAGTACTGCCAACCCTAAATGAATAGCTTGAGTCCAGTTCAGGAAAAATTCAAGAGACTGGTTTTAGAATTACAAGATTTGTAAAAAATAATAGATCCAGTGTTCTTTCAATTTGCTTTCTCCTTTTTGCGTTGTTAGGATGTACTGGTGTCACATGTAGAAGCTTTCCCCGGAACCTCAAGGGCTAGCTAGAAACTTCCTTTTTCTTTAAGAATGAAGGCTGAAATCATTTGTCACTGCACCCCAGGAGTTTGGGCTTTACAGAAAGCAGTAGTTTTAAACTCATGAGAAAACCATGAGAGGTGGCAGCTCTGTTAATGCAACACTTGAGTCCCACAAAATGCAAGCTTCAATTAGCCCACCACATGATTACACCCACGTGACTGTAGTAACGAGTCACCTCTAGGCAAATCAAGGGTTTTACACTGAGTTCTTTTTTTTAGGAAGTAAAGGAGCCGTTGGACCTCAGGGACCCCCTGGAAATTTTGGTGAGCCCCTCTGCACTCTCCTTATACTGTGCGCGCCATTGCAGTTTCATTTCTTCAGCACTAAAATCAAGTGGCTTGAGGAGCTCGCTTCTTGGCTAGTTACCATGTCCACAGTATCAAGCTCACTGATCCTCCTGGGAGATTTGGGCTTTACAAAGGGAGAAATAGCCCTGCCTGCAGAAACAGGTGCCATCCATGTTTTGTAACATCCAAAACAACGCTAGGCAGAGCACCCACGGCATTGGAAAGAATAATTGACATGTAAGTGACAAGTACAGATCTGGAGGTGTGTCCCAGAGGAGGTTACTTTTTCCTGCCCCTCATATTTCCTACATACTGGGAGGGGGGAATATGAATCATAAGAAATGGATTTTATTTAAATGTCCAGTTAAAGGAACGGCCCTTCTTCTACCAGTACTTTCCTTAACTGATATTCTCCCATTGTCATAGTGCTGGCTAAATAATAATATCTGTCATGATGATTCAGGCTATAAGGCTCAGATCTGAGACGCGTGATCCTATTAGCACTTGGTGTTCCATGTACCGCGTACGTTGCTATCCCAGCTGTCACTGTGAGCCAACTGCATAGTTTAAAAGAGAGAAGAATATTGTTTGGATCCATTTAACTTTCCATTGTGTTTCTTTTCATGACCAGTGGAAAAAGACCTGTATCAAATGCAGTGTAAGAAAGGTGAGAATTTCTTATGACCACTAAATGTCTTCTCGTTCCATCCAGAGAAATGAACATGAAAACCCAATAGAGGCAGACACCTTGAAGAACCCCACATCTCTGCTTTACCTATTTTTGTTCTCAAACTATCAGCAAAAAGCTTTGATCCTTTAAAATGAATGTGGTTGTGGTTAGCAATTGGGAGTATCTGATATTCACCCTTGTCACATGATAACTAGAAGCCCTTCTGGCTCTCAGACGGCTCTCACAATGGCTGTGTGGGCACTTGCAGTACAATCCTTTGTGCACATTTCAGATTCAATACGTTTTCAAGATGCTTTCAGCCACCATCTCCCCAGGCTCAATTGCTCTGACCCAGAGCACATGGAGCTGGGCACGTGTTGTGTCTTTTCCTCTTTCAAACAAACCTCATATGAGCCACAGAGGCACATTGGAGTCCAAATCATTCTGTTTGCCAAATACAGAGGGCAGGAAGAGTCTAGCTAAGTACATACACTGCTGCTCTGGCGGGTTTCTAAACCTGGAACACAGGGAGACCACAATCTACTTCACGGGACACTACCCCGTTCCCATACACTGCTGTGTGGAGGGGAGGAGAAGATGCCTCAAAGATTCTTTTCCAGTTACATGATTCTCTAGTTAATTTGGCCCTCAGTGCACCACAAAGCAGCCTATGAATCCTGCTCCGAGCAGAGTCACACAACCAGTTTACATATTGCAATTCCTTTTCATCCAGGAGCAAAGAGCTGCCAGGAGCTGTTAGCCAGAGGGAACCACATGAGCGGCTGGTACACCATCTACCCCCACGACTGTCACGCCATGACCGTGCTGTGTGACATGGACACGGATGATGGAGGATGGATTGTAAGAACACCGCATAATGAAGCTCACTGGATATTTTTTCTTGAACACCCACCAATTTCCAGGCCCGGGATGGGAGGTGCCCTTAGCCAGGGGGCTGTAGCTCGGAGAAAAGCACGAGGGCACAGACTCTGATGCTGTGATCTCACCCCGCTTAGCTGAACAAAACCACGGACACTCTGCGGGCCCTGCTAACCCCCCAACCCTCCCCAAAGTCTCCAGACACCTGGGCAGTGGGCACAAGGGGTTTCATGGAGGGAGCCTGGAGCCTTAGAACCAAAAGACCCCGTCTGAGGGGACATTTGTCACTGGTACGACACAGGTCCCCGGATTCCCCCTTCTGGCTGTTCTCTGCCCGGCTCCCGGAGCCTCCTCAATAGGGGCTGGAACCAGGATTCCTGCTTCCTTCCACGCTAGTCACAGGCCAGCGGCATCGGCTGCTGCATCGCTCTGGCAGCTTGTGCCTGAGTGGAGAGAGCGTTCTAGGGAGCCGAGGCGACAAAGGGTTTGACCCCTGTATATACGTCCCACTGACACTCTGCTGTGCCTGTGACTGTCCCAGGAGAGCCTCAGGAATCCGATGAAGATCAGGGCCCCATGGTGCCGGGGGCTGGGCAAAGACGGACCGAGAGACAGTCCCTGTCCTCAAGAGCTCACAGTCTCTGCAGACAGGGCAGGCAGAGGGGTGAAAGAGGGCCGAGGCCGTGGGACTTACCCAAATGGCAGAACTGGGTGTAGAACTGAGTCCTGATTGCCAGGCCAGGGCTGTACACTTTGGAGCACGTGACCCTTTGTTGCTGCCAAGCTACACTGTGATCCTCCGGACAAGCCCTCTGCGCTAGTCCCCTCAGGCTGAACTGGAGCTGACACTGTCCGTCTCCCCAACGCTTTGCTGCCTCGGGGTTTCCAGTCTCACGCTCTGTGTGGGAGGGTGACAAAGTGGGGTTTCCAGCTAAGAGTCTCCCGTTCCCCTGCAGGTGTTCCAGAGACGGGCGGACGGCTCCGTGGATTTTTACCGGGACTGGAAGTCGTACAAGACGGGATTCGGCAGCCAGCTGTCAGAATTCTGGCTGGGGAACGACAACATCCACCTGCTGACGTCCCAAGGTAAAGACATCAGTGATGCTTCCTTTCCCTAACAGCCCCCCACGCAGTCACAAGAATCAGTGGGTGAAATTTTGTGATGCATGTGAGGCAGGCGATCAAACGAGATGGCCATAATGGTGCCTACAAAGTGGGGCCTGGAGGGAATGCTGTGATTGCTGGGCCAACGATTCATGGTTCAGAATTTTGTCTGTGGGTGGTTTGCCCACGGTACAGCAATGAGGATGCTACAGACTGGATGAGTGTTAGTATATAGATATTAGGGCCTGCCTAAAAAGGCCTGTACGGGCCTGTCTAGACAGCGGCGCTATTTCAAGGTACTTCTGGTATCCTGAAATAGTGTTTTCTGCGTCCTGACAGTGTGCTCGTTATTTCGAAATATCTTTGTAAGTAACGGGTGCGCTGTTCCAGTGCCCTGGTAAACCTCGTTCCACGGGGATGTTCCACTTTATTTTTTAAATGGACTTGAAATAAGCTATGCAACTTGTGTACCTCGCATTGCATTGCTTATTTCAAGCGAAGGGTGCAGTGTAGACACACCCTAGAAAAGTGAAGCCAAACCAGTATGGAAGGTACATTCCAAACCAGTCACTGAAACTTAGGGGGCAGATTTCTGTCTGGCAAGAGCCCACTCCCCATCTCTCTTTTGGTTATCTGTCAGGTTCTATCTGGTTCTTTATGTCTGTTTCCTGAATAACTCATTTTTTGGGGTGTAATCTGATTACCCAATTGATCATTGGTGGTGGGATATCATTGGCCAGATCATAGAATCATAGAATAATAGGACTGGAAGGGACCTCGAGAGGTCATCGAGTCCAGCCCCCCGCCCTCAAGGCAGGACCAAGCTCCGTCTACACCATCCCTGACAGATGTCTATCCAACCTGTTCTTAAATATCTCCAGAGAGGGAGATTCCACCACCTCCCTTGGCAATTTATTCCAATATTTGACCACCCTGACAGTTAGGAATTTTTTCCTAATGTCCAATCTAAACCTCCCCTGCTGCACTTTAAGCCCATTACTCCTTGTCCTGTCCTCAGAAACCAAGAGGAACAAATTTTCTCCTTCCTCCTTGTGACACCCTTTTAGATATTTGAAAACCGCTATCATGTCCCCCCTTAATCTTCTTTTTTCCAAACTAAACAAGCCCAGTTCATGAAGCCTGGCTTCATAGGTCATGTTCTCTAAACCTTTAATCATTCTTGTCGCTCTTCTCTGTACCCTTTCCAATTTCTCCACATCTTTCTTGAAATGTGGCGCCCAGAACTGGACACAGTACTCCAGCTGAGGCCTAACTAGTGCAGAGTAGAGTGGCAGAATGACTTCACGAGTTTTGCTTACAACACACCTATTGATACAACCTAGAATCATATTTGCTTTTTTTTGCAACAGCATCACACTGTTGACTCATATTCAACTTGTTAGGATTAACATAAACATGTTAGGATTGGTTAGTTACATTTCTGTAGACTGATTGGTTAAGCTATCCCTGAAAATACTGTATATATGAGAGAGAAACAGGAAGTAAGGAGGCAAAACCAAGAGAACAGGAGAAAAAGGGACAGAAACAGGATTCATGCCTGCTGGAAGCTAACCCCAACATCTGACTGTTTGCATCTCTGCACATCGGGCATTGCTGTTCTCTGTTCACGTGAGAAGGACCAGTAAGTGGGAGAGTGAAGGAATAAACCCCCTAACAATGAGGTTGTGCATTCTGAACTCCCTTAGCCAGGCATCACATGGAGCAGGTTATTAATAGGGAGGTCAGCTTAGTGGATTGAAACTGAATTGCTAAAGGTTGCTATGAATATATGGGCTTGATGAAAGAACAAGTGGGTGAAATTCTGTGATGCAGGCAATCAAACAAGATGATCATAATGGTCCCTACATAATGGGTCTGGTTTGTTTAGAGCCGTTAGGGACTTGTGCAATAAAAACCAGCAATAACAGTAACAAACACTAATGCTGAAAGGTTTCTGCCAAACTGTTCTCTCAAGGAGCCCACGAGCTGCGTGTTGATCTCAGAGATTTTGATGACAGCTATCAATATGCCAAGTTTGCATCATTCAAAATTGCAGGAGAGCCAGAGAAATACAAGCTGACTCTTGGATCCTTTCTAGAAGGCACAGCAGGTAGGTTCCAGGAGGGTCCTTCATGCCGGGTGGCAGATGGAAACGTGGAAAGCCAAAGGGACGCAGGATACTCGGTTGCAGAAGCAAATGGCAATGTGCCGGGTGGAAGTGATGTCTCTCAGGAAACACCAGTTATTCTGCTGCTGAGCTAGCGTAGGAGACACACCGGATCTAGGGACAACAACATGTATCGCATAATATCAGCCCCCGGCCTAGTGAAAGCAGCTGTGCAGAGGTGGGCACAGCTACTGCTGGTTACTTTCCTAAACTGGATCTTAACGCCCCCAAGAAACGTCTGAATTAAACAGAATAGTGGCACCAGAGATGGTACACAACACTGAGTGGGCGTAGTGGTCCCATTTCATGCCCACTGCATCCGGACTCCCAAATAGCAAGCCAGAGAGAGTCCATAGCATACAGAGAGAGTCCATAGCTTAGGCCCACCCACTCCCCAGCTAGGGAGGAGGGCTCTTAATTAGGTTTAAAAGGGCCAAGTGATAAAAGCCCACAGGAAGCGCAAAGGGCCAGCTTAACACAGTGTTAGCTGTTTTGGGAGCAGCGGCATATAGCCTTTGAGGATGAAAAAGTGAGATATCAGTTGAGGAATCCTCTCAAATATAGAGATGCAAGGTGGCTGGGAAATAAACAGGAAGAACTGGCAGGATTTCTGTAACAGTAGCATTCCTACTTCAGTGGCATCACAGACTTGGGGTGGGTTAAATCTCATTACTGGAATATTGAGGTCTGGTTGTTGAATTATTATTGAGGGCGAAGGTGTTGAATTATGCAGCAGGAGTACGTGCGTAATTGTTCTCTGCCATTTTCCAGTCTTCTGGAATGTCTCTTGACTGTTCTAAGATGATGTCTAATGGCTCAGACAGCTCCTCAATCAGCTCCTTGAGTATTTTGGGATGCGTAATAATAGTCACACTTTTGTTGGAAAAGTACTACAAAAAACCCACCACATTTCTAACAAGTCCTTGGATTGTGTTGAGCTCACCATTTTGTAGAGGAAGTAGCCAGGAGATCCAGGTATTTAAGAATTAATTCTGACCAACAAGGTGGGGGATTAGCAGTGAATTTGAAAGGGGAAAACAATTTGGGTGAAAGTGATCATGAAGGGTCAATTCCAGATTCCTTCCCAGCTCGCTTGCCTGCGTCTCTGCAGTGACGCGTGGGATGCCCTGTTGTTTTGGCTCCCTGTGATAGCTGCCCATGTCTTCGTTTGGGCCGCTGTCACTGGGCGCTCGGGTCATTTCCCCTTCATTAGGGCTGAGGAAAGTGCCCTCTGAAGAGCTTCTGTGTGGGTGACTTTACCCTGACATTGGTGGAGTCAGTGTAGGTGGGAAATGTTTAACCCTTTCTCCTGAGGAGCACAAATTCTCCATGGCTCCCCCCAGCCCTTGCGAGTACTAGGAACGCAGTCTTGGCACACCAGCATTTTGGCCTTGATGGCAGCTCCATACTCTGATAGTCTGTCTGCTAATTGAAGAGTTTTCTGCCCGGTCTTGTGTGGAGATGCTCTCAGAACTAGGCCTGGTGAAAAATATTCCCCACTGGAAGTAGAACTGCCGTCTCACTCCTGACCCCGGGGAGATTGCTGCTGTCTGCTGCCATGAGAAATTTAGCAACTCCCTGCAGGATTGCCAGACTGTCTGTGGCAACTCAACCGTAAACGTGAAAAAAAAGAGATTCTCTCGCCTGGCTTGTCACTGAACAAACATATAATAGAGAAATCCAATTGTTTCCGCAGGGGATTCCTTCACCGAACACAGTGGCATGATGTTTACAACCCACTTTCTGAGAAACAATGCGCTGTAACCTTTCAGGGGGCCTGG